AGGCTGCAAATCTGGGGCAACGGGCGGGCAAATGAGCATCAGCGGGTGGGCAGGTGAGCATGCTGAGCATGCAGGCGGGCAAGTGAGCATTGACGGGCGGGCAGCATCAGCCACAGTTTCCAGGGGGCGCCCCAAACACTTTCCACTTTCCAGTGAAAGCAGCGCTGACACTAAAGTGTCTACTCGTTCCTGCACGCCAGAGGCGACCTGACAGATTTGACGATCTTGACGCCCGCCCGACATAGCATCAGAAGGACGGGCGCGAGCAAAGCTGCACATGAGCCTCTGCTGCCGGCCCCGCCTGATAGATGAGCAGCACCGGACAATCCGAGGAGCCACTGCCGCCGGCCCTGTGCGACGACGGGAGCATCACTCACTCACAACTCTCAAACTCTCAAAGAGCTTGCGAATTTGGGCTCCGCTCGGCTGCCTTGCAGGTCTTTGGCTCACGAGGATGGCGACGAAAGGACCTGACGAGTCTGCAAGGCGAGGCTGGGGATGCTGGGGGCGCAGAGAGTTTAGGCTCAAGATGCTCAAGTCCTTACTTGCAGTCGCAGTGGCCTCTTTTCGGCGCGTCATCGACTGTAGTGGTGCAGGAGACGCAGGCAGCTGAAGAGTTTGTTCAACCGCATCTTCAGAAGGCCTCTGTGTAGTGTGAAATTGACTCTCAGCGTGCCATGTAGCGCGCTTGAGCATACAAAGGCCACAAAGGGCCAAAGAAGAATTCCAGGCCAGACCTATCCATCAACAAAAGATTCACTACATCACTGGGATTTTTAGAGTCGCGCCGGACTGTGGAATTCCACAGCTGCTCCAGCACATCTGCCTTGTTGCCAATCTCGTCATGAGTGATGTAGAGCAGAGCAAACCGAACATCTTTCTCTTCCTGAATTTTGGTTGGAAGGCCCTGCCAAAACACTGACCGCTTGTCTTGAGGATGCCCTGCATGGCACTGATCTGGCGCACCTTTATTGCTGTCGCCGCCATGCGGCTCCAAGCCAAGCAGCAGCACTTCGCTGTCGTCCAAAGGCAACACGGCGACTGAATCTGCACCTGCCTGACCATCTGCAAGACCCAGCACCGCGGCTGTGCCTTTTCGAGCCTTTTCGATGGCGAACTGCAGGATCTGCGCGGATGCATTGAGAGGCTTCCTTAACGCCATCAGGGTCACAGCTTTGGGAACTTGCATCTTGTAGGCCGCTGCCTCTAATCCGTCATGCGTCGCGCAATTTGGGAAGATGTCGGCCAGCGTGAGGTCCTCTGGTTTCAACTCACATCTGCGCAGCGCCAGCAGAATGGTGTAGGTCCAAAGCCGGACGCCCACATCCAGCAAGTTCCCGGCGTCTGCTGTGCCACCAGCCTGTGCCTTTAGCACTTCTTCCAGCTCCCTCCACCAGTCTTGAAGGTACCGCAGGTCAGGCTGAATCTGAGCCGCTTGACGTAAGAAGGCCGGTAGGATCTTGGGCAGGAACTCCGCATTATCCCGAAGCTTTTCAAGCGTGTTGGCGTACGCACCCTCTGACAGGAGATTTGGGACACAGTGGCCACCAATCTCCTGCTTGAGACTCACCCGCAAGCGACCCGAGGGGAGGATTGCCGGAGCAAGGACTGCGGGTGTCAGGCGCTCCGCCACGATGTCGTACCTCACGTTGAGCTTCTCATCGACCGAGTTTCGCAGGTCCAGCCCAACTCGACGGATTGCCGAACCCAACTGCGGCGCGGTCTCGATATTCTCGATGAGCTCTGTGGCCGCGACTTTAGTCTGATTCACGGCCTCAGTCAGGTATTGCAAGGCACGAGCCAGGGGCACGTACTCCACCACGGGAGGCCTCAGCACCAGCTTCTTGTAGAGTTCTGTGTTGTTGGCCTTCGTCTTCAGACTCTTCCCACGGCAAAGCCCCACAAAGCTGTTCAGCCAGCGCTGGACACTTGCTTTGGAGTCCGCCTCATATAGCACCCAATTTTTCAGGGCGTCCTCAATTTCCTGCTCCACTAGCGTAATGACCTTCACATCTCTTGAGCTCACGGTCTGCTCAGCAAAGTCGCCGAGGCCGGCTTGCATCAGCATCACAGAAAATCCCAGACTATTGGCGCTTGCAGGTGCGCACAAAGATCGCAAGACCGAGAACTCATCTCCGTCTCCTTTTTGCATGTTCAGCAACTTTGGCAAGCGGCCGCTCTCGTCCACGAGGATGTTAAGGTTCTCGACACTGTCACGCGTTTTTGCGCACTCTGCCACCACTTCACGCAGCAGTGACACATCCAGAGGCACATTGTTGGCTTTGAGGCTCTCGCAAAAAGACCCTGCAAACAGTTGCAGATCATTGATTTCAAACGTTGCGTGCAGCAGCCGTAGCACCACATGCACGAGTGCTCGTTCCTCGGGCTCTTTGGTCAATCTTTTCACGGTCTGCGCATCGATCTCCAAGTTTTGTCTTCCGTTGAAGGTGATGGGGATGCACATCGCCCGGCTCTGCTTCTGAAGTAATTGGTTCAGCTCATAGAGGAAGCGCGACTTGCCCTTGCCGCTGCTGGCTAACAGCACCAGAAGTGCTGCTTTCCGCTCTTCCTGCGAATCTCGCAGCACTGCGTGGCCTTCTGCAAGCGCCTCAACGAGACAGCGGGCCATCCATTTGCAGCGCAGGGACAGCTGTTGCAAGCGTTTCAAGCAGCAAAATAGATTTGCGTGCCTCGGGCAACTTGGACGCCCATTCGGGCGCTTGATCTCTCTGGGCTCCGCCCAAGCATGTTCTCTTCACGGACACCCGTGTGTATGCACGTGTTCGCAACCCCACCTTGTCAGCTGCAAACGCTGACGGGGCTGTGCAGGAAAGCAGGTGGACGACAAATACAATGGCGCACCACCATGGCAGACGGCGCCGTGGCATGGCTCACAATGTCAAGCTGGCCTAAGTTTCAGAGGAGCATGTCACTCATAGCCCGTTTGCTACCCATGTGTCTGGCAATGAATGAAAGTGCTCGAAGATAATGTCTGCAAGAGCTACGTTCAATCAGGTTGCGATAAAAGCCCTTGCAGTGCACTCAGCTCCGGGCGGCGGGCTGGATATTGGAGATGTTCAAATGGGGAGCAGAAGCTCCAGATTGCAGGTTTGCCTGAAGAGGTGGGTAGCCAATAACTGCCTGCGAGAATGCGGCACTGCAATTGCTCAGAAGCGAACACTCCACACGCAGGCTCGAGAGACTTGAAGCGGACGCCCTGTCTTATTATTGGCACTGGCAGCCACGAGCCCTGGCATCCTCGTGAAGCAAAGGAAGCACAAACACAACTCGGGCAACCTTGATATCCAACTCCCAATGATCACTGAGAACCAAGGTCTTACAAAAGGTCACCGTCAACACGCGCGGTGCAAAAAACATCAGTATCAACGTGAAGCCCAAAAGAAACGGAACCTTTCACCTTGCATGCACTCAAAGCTTCAAAGCTCCAGGCTGTTCATCATTCTCGTTCACCTCTCCATGGAGGCGACCTGACCACAAGGAAGGGCCGGGGCTCAGGCAGGTCAACCTACATGCGCATGCCCGCGCGCCACGCACCTACAAGTCCCTGAGCACCCTGAACATTTGCGCAAAGACGCTTTTCGGGGACCTACAACCTAGCCACTAGTCCCAATCGATGGCTGTTGTGACTACACCTAAAAACCCAGACCATTCATAGCGCTCAACACTCCAACGCACAGCGCAACCTTGCGTACTTGTCAAGTGAAGGCTGCGGTGCGCAAAAGACAATGTCGAAGCGCCACCTAGGCAGACGAGGGTGGGAAGGGATACATAACCTTCCTACACCTAAGACCCCAAAGCAAACACTCTCCGACGCGAAGCATTCGGGGAACTCCCACGAGGACGGGGTCCAAACCTACACACAAGTCATTTGCAGACTCCGTGCCGGAACTCTGGCTTGTGAGGCCCCGGCTTTGCGATGGGCTCAGCGGCGTCGCAGACGACCTGTGAACCTCCACAGATTTTCGAGCTGCAATCAGGCAGCATGGCTTCGCAAAATATCCAGGATTTCAGTCCTAAAACTATGCACATGCATGGCAATGCTCAAACTGCTGCTCAGAAAAACCGTGCCCAGCTCAAAGCAGCGATTCAAACAAGCAAAACCAACTCAAAATCAGTTTGCCGAAAACAGAACCCAAATTTCACACGCAAACACTCATCAAACTGGGAGTCCTACTAAATACTGCCAAAAGTTGCGCACAACTAACTAATTCGCAGAACTCTCCTGAAGCCTATGGCCGGCACACGGGATCACGCGGAATACTAACGCTCAGATATTCAATCAGTACCTTGCCGCTGGGTAAGGAACACATTGGTTCCGAGCCATCCTACCACAGCATTGGAGTCAAGCCTGTCAAACCCAACACATCAAGCCCGTCGAATTTGTCAAGCCGCAGAAGGCTGGTGGAGGGCCTGACGAACCTGACAGATTTGATGGACTTGATGCCTTTGATGGGCCCGACGGCCGCGTCCGGCGGCCTCGGGCCAGCCCCACAATTGATTTGGCCATCTGTGGGCCATCCCCACCAATGCTCCAACCCATCCTAGACCACGCTCAACAGCTCGGAGCTAGTAGCTTGGCTGGCCCCGACGTACAGGCGCCGCAGGTTGAAGTGCTGCGTGCCCGCGTCCAGCAGCCACACCCAGCCGCGGAGCGTCAGTGCCCTTGGCCACCTTGCCGCCG